GTAGGGGCGAGGGAAGGCGATGAGGTGGGAGGGAGACCAAAGGCATGGTCGAAGAGAAAGGTCTTGAGATCGGCCTTGAAGGAGGCAAGGGAGGAAGCGAGGTGAAGGGACTGTGGGATGGAGTTCCAGAGTTCAAAAATTCCTATATTGATTTTTCCATGAACCATCTGCACCTCTGAGGCATGGGTCCATTCTTAGCTAGAGTACAATCAGTAACGTTTTTAGCACAATAGAGTGTCATTGATTTTCAATAAGCTGATTTAACAAAATGTTAAATCGACAGAATGTGTCTGTGGCTACAATCTTCTCTATAATAAAATAATTTGTCAACAATGTGTCCTTGATCATTAAATATAAAGCATCCAAGATATTAAATGTTCCACTGTCTCATGTAGATTGTAGTACCCTGGTTCAACAGTTCAAAAGCAAAACAATAAAGGCTAAAATCTGGATTCTGAACATCAGTCCCCAAGTAAGGAGGAAAACCTTCAAAAATTACCAACTTTGAAGAGAATTCAAAAAGTTCAAAAGGTTTTCACACTCACAACCAAAGACTAACATTGAACCAAACTATCTTCTGGTATAATCGAGGTAGTGCAACAACAACAAAATTACATTTGTATAGCGCCTGTCATGATGGGAGGACATCCCAAGGCACTAGACAATCAATGTTTCGGACCCGAGCTGGGGGTCGGGATCAGGGATGGTGGAGGGCAGGGGGGTAAGGAGGATGATACGCATGGTCAAAGATGAGGGTCTTGAGACTGGTCTTGAAGGAGGTAAGGGAGGGGGTGAGGCAGAGGGACTGCGGAATGGAGTTCCAGAGTGGGGCCAAAGTGGCTGAAGGATCGCTCACCAATGGTGGGGTGGGTGAGGCGGGGGACGTGAAGCAGGATGGAGCCGGCTGAGCGGAAGGAGCGGGCAGATTGGTCGGGGGTTAGGAGGTCACAGAGGTAGGGGGCGCGAGGCCATGGAGGGCTTTGAAAGTGAGGACCAGGATCTTGAACTGTATCCACTGTGTGATGGGAAGCCATTGGAGTCGGACGAAGATGGGGGTGATAGGGTCGCGGAGGGTGCGGGAGAGGACACGGGCAGCAGAGTTCTGGATGATCTGCAGCCTGCGGAGGGAGGAGTTGGGGAGGCCGACAAGCAGGGAGTTTGCATCTTCGAGCCTCGATGTAATGAATGCGTATATGAGGGTTTCGGTGGCCTGTGGTGTGAGACCATGGTGAAGCCAGGCAATGTTGTGGAGGTGGGGGAAGGCAAAGCGGGTCATGGCATGGATGTGGGGTAGACAAGATAGTTGAGGGTCAAACAAGACCCCAAAGTTGCGGACTGGCTTAGTAAGGTGGAGTGTGCAACCATGGATGGTGATGCTGTCAGCGCCTGAGGCCCATTGTTACAGGATTGAGCTATGAGGATGAAACCAATTGGACTGAATGATGTTCATCATCTAAAACTCTAGTGAGCTTATTTACAGAGAGAGCAGAATGCTAACCTTCTTACAGGTGTGAGAAAATAAAGTGGGCTAAACATCTGGAAGCACAAAGGGATTCACAACATTTAAGTCAGCTTTTACGATAAATCACATGCAGAGCAAAATCTGACAGTATCTGTTCTAGATTAGCTATCTTGCGATGACTCCAATAAATTTCCCCAGACCAATTTGTTGCAACTCTAAATAAACTGACTTGCGCTCCTGGACGCTACCCCGTGTGAAAGGCACTATCTAAATGCAAGTTGTTGTTGTTGACTCTGGTTTAGAAATAACAAGTGCAGATTGTCTCAGATAGGTAGTGTGATATCCAACATGTTGAGGCACTATCACACTGTACCTAGGCAATGGTGGGAGAGAAGTTAAATTCCACATTCAACTATGTTTGAAAACTCAGCACAGCTGCTGTGCAGAGCCAAACAAAGTTGTCTCTCCACAAAGGGAAATCCAAAAGCAGAGTTCTCCGTGAGGCAAGTACCAAATCACCCACTAACAATCTCACTTACAGGTTGATCGAGGCCTGAGGGAGACCAGAGGAACTGCAGAGCAAATAGTAGGATTTCACATCTCACAAACATTTCTCCAGCCTTTTCCTTTTTAGAGATCATTTAGATATTTATATCTTTATGCAGACTTACGCACTGACAAGTCTTGTTCTGTGAATGGGCTGATCTACACCATGTGGAGCAGAAGATTGGCTGACCGACTGACGGATTGCATATGGGTGAGAACCCCAAGTTGAAGACTGGGAGAGGAATCTGGTTTGGTTTTGGAGGAAGCTTGGCTTGCAATGAGTGGAACCTTTTGACAAAAAAAAGCACAGTTCAGAATCTGTGCCCATTCCTATCCTATCTATTTCCACTTGGATGCAGTAGACCGGAGACATAGACTAACATAGATATTTTCTAGTCCACCTGGTGTGCTGTAGACAAGAGCTACTCACAGACAGGTAAAGACTCAAAGAGCAATGCTCGATCCAGATAAAGCAGCTGAATGTTCAGCTCCCCCAGCCCAAATACTGTGCGATGCTATTTTTAAAAAAATTGAGATTGACACTGTACAGCAGTATGTGAATTTTTATAGCTGAAAGCATCACACAGTAAAATGTGTGGTTTTAAAGTACGTTAAGTGTGGTCTCAAAGGAAAACGTAATTTATACACACAGCGGCTGCAGCAGGACTTAGTCAAGAAAACCTGGTGTGAAGTGGTACAACGTGACCTCTCACAGATGGAGTAGGTTAGAGATTAGCACAGGATCTAGTATGTAAAAAAAGTAATACCATTATTGTGTAAGAATAATGTTAGTTAGTATAATACTATATGCCCTTTCTAAATAAATAACAAAGCTGCATTACTGGAAATTAACAAAACATTAACCAAACATTAATGAATGGTAGTCAATATAATTATTTACCAATTCTTAAAAATCAATACAAGATGCAAGACACTGCTGTATGTACTGTGTTGAAAATCAGTGTATTTGTAAATGTTAAGGTAAAGGGAAGCCTCCGTTACTTCAGAGATGCCTGGGTTTAAAATCATTTGATTAGATTTGGAGCAAGGATTTGAGGCATGAATAATAAAGTATCAACAGACATCCTAAGTCTCAGAACATAAAACTAGAGTAATTACAGTATGTCCTGCATTTAATCTTTCTAAGTGTAGGAAGTAGCAGGAACTAATGCAAACCTTCAATACTGTTGTTGTGCTGTACGAGCTAATGCAGAGTGAATCATTGTTACTGTTGAGATCTGTATCTATGTTTTTTAAATTGAGGAGCAAAATATTCTGACAAGAACTGTGATAATTAATCAAATGCTGCAACTTTCACTCCTTTAAAAGGAGCGGCACAGTGGTGAAGCAGATTTAAATGTTCAGTTATAGGGAAGGGCACGCAGAGGTCAGGCACCACTTTGATAGCATGGTGTTAAAATAACAACTTGCATTTATATATCGCTCTTCACACAAGGCAGTGTTTTGGAACGCTTAATGCCAAGCCAGGGGGAGGGAAGAGGTGATCAGAAGCACAAAGAGGGGCAAGGCAGAGGGATTGGGGCAAGACTTCCAAAACTTTAGGGTGGAGCAGCTGAAAATCCAACCGTTAATGTTGGAGCAGAGAGTATGAGGGACAAACAAGAGGCCAGAGCCAGCCAAGGGAGGCAGCAGATAGTGGAGTGGGGAAAAAGCAGGTCAGAAAGGTAGGGAGGTGCCAGGGCGTGAAGTGATTTGTAGACGAGTGAGACTGTTTCTTGAAAACATCGGACCAGGGAATCACCTCAAAAAATAAAATGTTAATTGTTTTTCATTTCAATTGCATTTAAAGATGTTGTATTTCATTTGAAAGCTTTTTAGAAATAGAATTTCGTCCTGCCCTGTTCTGCTTGCTACATCATGCAGATCAAATAGATTTGACCAGATCTTGTTTGTTCAATGGGCGGGAAACAAGTTTCAACATGTTGAGAAAGAGCAGCAAATACAAGCCAAGCAACTAGAGGAGGCAGAGAGGTTCCTGAATGCAGCTCTCTCCTTTTTAATTAATCGGATAACACAAGATTGTTAGCATGGGTAACAAGCCATCTTCAGCAGAGGTATATCCGAGTATAACTGAAAAGATTGAGCTTGCAGCGTTGACCTGCAAATAACTTCTTCCATGCTGCAGTGCAAGTTCTTTTACAGGTGTTTAGCACACAATGCTAGAACTTCATTTGTAGATTAAGATAATCCTAAATACTTGGTTTAACACAACAGCAAATTACATTTGTATAGCGCCTTTCATGTCGGGAGGACATCCACAGCAGTATTGCAATAGGCCCTTCTGTTACCAGCTTTTGAATCACCCATGTTAATATTTCCACTTGCTTCCTTTCTTCACCAGTAAAGCTAAACTTCTGTTTAATGCAGTGAACATAATCCTAACACAAGGCAAAACAGCTACTTTTGTTTCTACCTCGAGCTTTCATTTAAATGTATCTACTTCCTTATTCTTAAAATAATATGACCATACTAGAAATCAGAATACAAATATAAAAGCACTTGCTGCACTAAGTAAAGATACATATGGGGTACTTACTTAAAATTAAGAGCTGAGCCACTCGCAACCAGCACTCCCTCTGACTTGGATGCAATAGGTTTTGTTTAATCAAGCCAACCACTGCTCATAAATGGATTAGTTCCTGGTTGTAACTGAAACCTCAGGGACAATGTGCAGGTGACTCACAACAATTTTCTACATGAATCAGCAGAGGGTTTCACTGGATTAAGCAGCCAGTTGGCAAATATGTGATGAGCGACAGGTAGAAACTATCCACAAGGAACGCTTCCTGATTGTGTGGTTCAACTGTAGGTTTCCAGAAATAGATTCACAGCTTTGTTATCAGTTGATTACCATATTGATAAATAGCCTTGCAAAATGATTACGTCAATTGCTACTGGAAAAAAAAGAGATTTTTTTTATAGATAATGGGGAAATGACAATGAAGAAAAAACAAGTTCCGGAATTAGTTTGAAAATAGATTTATTTTCAATTTGCAACTGCACCCCCAAATTAAAATTCAGCAAGGGTTAACAATTCTGATAGCTATTGAGTTACCTCTGCCAGCAAGTGCAAGTGTAATCGTGCAGTGCAGACAGTACTCGGCTTGGTTGTGGTGTCCATGGTTCAGTAGCCTGTTGACATTCGTTGTACAGGTTTACATCACTATTCTTGATAATATACATATTCTTTAAAAATAGTGCATTTCTGTGCTCATTAAGGCAAGGATCTGAATGCTAAATAACACACTATTCTGGGCACCTTCTTGAATGTAAAGATTCCCTCTCATGAAGAAACCTTAAGGGGAAGAAGAGCACGTTACCAACTAATATTTGCCATTTTCTATGAATTATCTCTGCAGGGAAGCTCAAGCACATTTACCTGGGTACATTATAAAGCTATCAAAGGAAGTAGGTTGCTTGCATCTCAAACAGATGCTGGAACATTTCAGTGGCAGGGCCAGTTTCAGTACATTTCTCGCGGAAGTGCAGTCAGTGCTTACCAGGGCTGTAAGAAGAACTTTACAGCAGAACAGTGTATTTCAGAAAGCAAGAAAAAGGAAATAAAAGTAGTTAAAGGGGAAGAAATGTCCAAAGAAATTTTGTTTAAAGGTTTTCTAACACCCAACGCTATCAGAAATTAACATAGTTCTAACCTAATTTTGTCATTACTGAAATATTTTCAAGGATTGCAAGAGACTGCCATTTGAGAGTTTCCTTTCTTGGGCCAACACAGTGATGCCAGTTATGTGCATCCTTCATTGCAACCTGTCATTTCAAATCTGATAGCACTTTGGATTAGCTGGACCAAATCAGAGCTGCCTGACCACAGGAAAATGCAGTACAGGTTAGTAATATTCGCCAGTGAGCACAAACTAGTAACTAGAAAGGCTTACGCCCTTCACCCTTTAAGATGCAAAGGATTGGTGTTCAGCAAGGTTGAGCCCAAAATGGGCCGAAGAGCTTTCTTTAGCTGAACCTTTTTAAACCTTTTTTTCTGTTTCTTCATGAGCAATTTAACATAATTTGGAGCCAGCCAAATGGACCTGATGATTTTTTCCAGTTTTATTTTCCTGTATAAATTCTTCCAGTTAAAAACTTCAAGGAACAATTTTTGACGAGGAGAAAATAATTAGGTGGATTTAAAAGACATAATAGTGTCCCAACTTTCAAGCAGTGGCAGCTGTGGGGATTAAGGTCAACATACTTGCATGATCAATCCCAACGCACAACAGAGCATGGGCCTCGGCAGGAACATTTATTAGATTGTTAACCAGTCATTCTGCATAGTGAGAACCATTGCAACAAATTACAGTGTGGAGACTGTAGCTGGATTCATCCCTTCACTAGTTTGGAAAACAGCAGACCACAGAATTGACCACAGAAAAATAGGAGTTTCAAGTTAAAAAACTGAGAGGGACTGAAATCTGATTTCAACTTCACAAACTTATGTAATAAAGCATCTTTATATGAAAGCAGGTAGTCAATTCTGGTTTTGTTTGGTGGGTCACAAACATATGATTGTGTTAAGTTTTTAAAAAAAACCTGAAAGGATTTAGCATGCAGTTAACAGATGATAGAACTAATCCAGGTAAAAAACGAGAAAACTTTCTAACTCTGAAGTGCAAACCAATAACCAAAGCAAAACATTTGGAAACATTAACTGCACTTTGTTGTAAGAATGGTTGGAGACGTAGTTTTGTGATATGGAAGACACCTATTGAAAAGGTTAGATGCTCCAGTAGAACATTTTTCTTCCCCATTAAACAGAATCTTTACAGCATATGAGTTGCCATAACAAGCAAAGTAAACACCACAACCATTATAGCTTTTTCTTNAAAAAATCTGGAAATGGTGCTTAAATTTGGCAAGGTGTAATACTGCACCTTCTCATTCACTTTTCATTTCTTGGCCTTACTAATGGCGTTAAATCTATTTCAGTCTTCAACATTGTAGAAAATTCCTTTGTAAGCAGTTCGTGCAAAAGGATTCCGTCATGAGAATATATCCAACTGTTCCCAGTCCAATCATATCGCTTAGGTCCACTGAGAAGAAAACCAAAACATTTTAATGAAAATCAAAGTACACTTCCATTCCCCACCAACATGGAAGATTCAATAAAAGTTGATAGAAAATATATCTAGTATTGTAACAAAGCCCATGTATACTGCTGGAAGCAAAGGGAGATTGCTGTCAGCAATAGAGCAGGAGAGTGAAATTAGATCAGGTGGCTGGCTCATGTGGAGAAAAACGGCAGTGCAGACAGTGGATTGTTTCTGAACTGAAACATATTGCAAGTATGATCCTAAGAAAAAGTTTAGATTATGCTGTCAACCTACTGTTAAGCTACATAAGACTTGCTGTCACAAATTGAATGAAATTTGACAGGCTGTCTGCAGACTGCTGATGAAGATCTCAAAGGCCCAACACCTCTGTACTGTTGAGTTTAAGAACTACTGTGATCAATGCTTTCACATCTTCAGTGAGACAGTAATTTTAAATTCAATACATGTAGGTACCCTAACTGGGTTAAAATTTGATGTATTTAAGAACGTTATGGCAGAAAGTGTCATGCTCAAAGATCTGATCAAGGGACAATATTTGCTCTGAATTGTTGTTTATTGGGATCAGAGATCAAAGAAAAGCTGTGAGGATATATAACAGCATTCTACACTACTTCAGAGTATCAGTAACTTTGTTGGAGGTCTAAGCCTTCAAGGTCTTCACTCGGCATCCAACCCAGTCCTTGTAAAGAGCTTCGAGACCTTGCCCTATGTGAAGTATGCCTCATATAAATGCAAGTTGTTGTTGTAAGCCTCCTCCTTTGGTTTGTGGAGTCCTGTATCTTAGAGCACTCGCCTCGCAAGCGAGAGGACCTGGGTTCGATTCCCGGCAGGGCGAAACATTGGACAAGTTTCCTTACTCCACATGCCTCTGTTTACCTAGCAGTAAGTAGGAACCCGGTTGTTAGTTGATTGGTGGATCGCTTTTCTGGGGGTAATAATTCCTTCAATATAAATAAAAATAATTTGGTCACTTAATCCACGACTGTTCGTGGGACACTGCTGTGCGCAATTGGCTGCTGCATTTCGCCCACACAATATAGTCAATTCACTATACAGTACATCCTGTGAAGCATTTTGAAACGTCTCGAAGACGTGATAAGGCGCTATATCAAATGCAAGGAATATTACAATTGAACAAATACAGTAATATCACTGCTGCAAGAATTTCATTTCAGCAACAAATTCTGTCTTGTTTGTTTACTTTTTCTATGTAAATCTCTTAGTTTTACAATGAGTTCACCTATGTTATTTACACCGACCTTTGTATTTATTTTTTCTCTAAAGATTTGGTTCAATTGACTAAACTTGTCAAGAGAGTAACAGCAACATATCCAAATTAAAACAAAGCACAGCAAAGCTTATGTTGTAATACATTAAGGATCACATTTTTGTAATCCTGATAAATGTATTAGGTTGAGACACCTGAAAGAAGGGTGTAGTTCATAATGGACATGATCTATTTGCTTCTTTGATTTTTACTGGAATCTGAGGACCTCCCAAATCTAAAGTGCAGACAGATTTTAGAGTTTTTTTTGAGGAGTAAAACCTTCTAAAATCTGCCTGCACTTTAGATTCTAAAGCACACCTTTTTTATTCAGAAAAATAAGCAGTACTTATCCTTTACAGTCAAGATTCTATTACTAAACATTTCAGATTTTGTCTGTTCATCCTTCTTTTGGTTCATCCCTCCCTTGTTCCTCTGAAAGTCTCACTCTGACTTTCTTCTTCTCTCTTTGTATTTCTGTTTTGATCTCTCTCCATTGATAATTGTACACTGTCCGCATAACATCTTAACAATAGCATAGGGTGTCATACTTAGTAAAGTGTCAAACTCCATCATCATACTTTCCTCAAAGTTTTGCACAAGTAATTATCAGTGTGAATCGGTGGGCACAACTTTCAATATGGACTTTCATTCTACGCACCTGGTGGGAGATGATAACCAGATTTGTCGGTTTGGAGTCTGTTTATTAATCACGTACGTCCCCAAGTCTCGGCCCAGGTTTACTGTTAGCACTCCGCTCTAAAAAAGGAAAAGTAGTAACCAGAGAAATTGATCTTTTGTGATTGAAATTCTAATAAAACATTCTCCAACATATAGTAACCTTGAATATAAAACAAAATGTTTCTTATATCTGTATGATCTGTATGAATCTAAGCTTTTGAAGTGGCATGACTGTCTTACAACTGTTTGGGAAATAAACAAGAATGTGCCGAAGAAGAGAAAAGAAATCCTAACAATCTGTTGTTAGGATGTGGGACATATAGTCAAGTCTACTGAGACTGCATCAGCATTCAAAAGATAAAAGGACAAGCACTGAATGGTAAAACATATTAAGTGATATGGGGATATGCTTAAAATGGGATTACTAATAAAGGGTTAGGGGGAGCAATGATGGTGTAATGATAGAACTGCAGTTTGCAGACTTGCAGCTTGTTCAAATCCTAGCTGAGTTTTCTAATCTCAGTCAGTGCTAAACAGGGAAGCTAATTTGGCCTTGGTCTTCTCAGCATCATGGAGGGGGGAAATCATAGAACATTCGGGCTCCCCCCAACAGCACCCTTTACTGGTAATATGCCAGCGAGGCAGCCAGGTGAGGAGAAGTCCAGCGTGGCTCTGATGCCTTTTATATTTGAGTGTCATACTGGTACTCACTGCCAAGGTTACATATTTACAATTGCCCCTTTGGCAGGATACCAGAGAGCAATCAGTTCCATCGAACTGCACCCTCGGAGAGGCAGGTGGTAAAAGGGAAAAAAAAAGAAAAATAATTGGACACAATAGGTTTTTGAAATCAGTAAATGGATTGACAACGATATAAGTATTAGTGACACAGACATGATGGGCTAAATAGTCTACTTCTTCCTGAGAATTTCTGTTTCTATGCATTTAACTTAACTTGCCAGTAATCAACACAGGTTCATGAGGAAACTGATTTGCATTGTGCTGTCTTGTTACATTAACTCAAATGTTTAACAGCTATCCTTTTAAATATGTTACAAAGAAGAGGCATTTACACAAAACTGTCAATTCAGATTATCTGTAAATAGCTGACATGAATTTGAATGCCCTGTACAATACCAGGGAAAATAGCCTTGTGTGACATGCTTTGCGATTTTCTGCCCGACTCGATTTCATTGTGTAACTACTGGGAATACACAACAATTTGTGTACGTTTCTCAATAAGTTTGTTCCAATAAATTCCATTGTAAAAAAACTGCCACAAGTTTTGTTTCAGTTTGTTTCTGTTGATATTTTGAATGTTGGGACATTTTTGTTCAAAGAATCAGAGCTGACAACATCATCAGGAAAAGAGCTTTGAAGATTTACTGAAATGACACTGTGAAGGGGTTGAATTACCATCAGTGTACAGTGGATACAGTGATCAAGTTAGAGTACTTCAGAAGCATGTCATTTCAACTGTGGCTGAAATCCAAACGTAACCCCTTCAAGCCAATTATCCTGATGAAGTTGTCAGCAATGACTGTCAAATATACAAACAGTACTTTTGAAATAACAGAACTAAACAGAACAAAACTATGGTAAAGATAATCACATTCTTTAGCACTTGGATTTTGTCTGCCTCTATCAACACTACTTCTAAGACATGACTGTCAATCTGCATCCTACTAATTTGATTGGCTGCATTACATTTCAGAATTAAGTTATTTTACTTTCTAAGGACAAATTAGAACAAGATGGAGAAATTAGAAAATAAGTTACAATAAAAATTGAATGAGCAGAAAATAAATTACAATACAAAGTATTGTGGCGTTATGTACTTGTGAATATATTCTTAAAACGTTTCACTTTTACTTGTGGATATTATTGGGTTATCTTTAAATTTCTTTATCTTTAATTCTTTATTTCTACATCCCACCTGAAGACTTACATCTTTGACTGCGCTGATGTTCATCTCCCCCTTCCCCCTTGTTCCGCGTCCAAACTTGATACTATGTGCCATACCTTGGCACTAACTTGAATGGTTATATGTATTGCAAGTTGTTATTGTTGGGTCTGGCATTACGTAATAAGACACTTCTAATGTTTTGTGTACCTTTATTACTGTATACAGAATATAACAAAGGTATAAATTATCAACTAAAATAGTCTAATTCTGTGATGTTGTGATTAGACACATTGCCGTATCTTTGCAACAATTACTGAACCATCAGAAAACCTGAATGTGTCAATCCTTTAGATTAGTTACAAGTCAGAGATGCATTAACAAAGCTCTGTTGTAGGACATTGTAAAGCAGGAATCACAGCCTTAGAGACAGTCGTTGTGTTTTACTAACTAAATGGATGACAAACATTGATATCCCAAAGGTACAGCAAAATCCTTACTAATAATAATAATCCTTGCATTGGATATAGCGCTTTTCACATCTTCTAGACATCTCAAAGTGTTTCACAGAATATACTATAACGTGAATTGTAGTGCTACCCATATTCAGAAACTCTTGGATCGACTTCAAATTACTTTCCAGCAGAGCCTCCCTGTGCTCATCTATTCAGATAATTATATGAATGAAAGCTACAGAATTTGACATTGTGTTGCAACCTCGTGCAACAATCTCTAAGACTGCAGAAGTAATTTCTGATTTTAAAAAACATAAGATGTGACTGAACGACTTTACACAACAAGCCCAACAGCTGTGTTTTTCTCGCCACAAAGTATCGGGGTTTAATATTGTGGCAGAGCTCCAGTAATGAGAAATAGTCAGCTTTAATTTGTGAGGCTTGAAAGGGCACTATTAGATTGCCCCATTCCTTCTTTCTGTGGATCACTGTGATTATTTGTGTTGAAAAATCTGGGTATTAAATAAAGCATCAACCAGGCAGTGTGGAAATATTAATACAATATGCCAGAGCGGAGAGTGGTACACATTCCATCATCCCACTCTAAGCAGCAGATTTTTGGTGTGTTGCCACAGAGCTTTTACTTAGTGCTCCCCAATAGGAGCAAAGGAAAACTAAATCTGAGGCATAGTGATTGACATGCGCAACACTCAATGTACAGCTGAAGAATGATCTTAGTAGCGACCTCAGAGTGTCAATAGCCCACCCTACAGGAATGTGGGCTCGCACATCCTCTACAACAACAACAAAATTACATTTATATAGCGCCTTTCATATCAGGAGGAGATCCCAAGGCGCTGGACAGACTGAGTTACAGACCCGAGCTGGGGGTCGGGGTGGGGGAGGGCAGAGGGGGAAGCAGGGAGATCAAAACCACAGTTGAAGAGGAGGGTCTTGAGGTGGGCCTTGAAGGTGGAGAGGGGGGGAGCGAGTCAGAGGGACTGCGGGATGGAGTTCCAGAGGGTGGGGCAGAGTGGCGGAAGGCCCACAGCCGATAGTGGGGTGAGCGAGGCGGGGCACTTGAAGCAGGACAGAGGCTGCTGAGCGGAGGGAGCGAACAGAATGGTAGGGGGTTAGGGGGTCGGAAAGATAGGGGGAGCAAGACCATGGAGGGCTTTGAAGGTGAGGACCAGGATCTTGGAACTGTAGCCCCTGTGTGATGGGAAGCCAGTGGAGTTGGGCAAGGATGAGGGTGATAAGGTCACGGAGCCTAGTGCGGGCGAGGACACAGGCTGCAGAGTTCTGGATGATCTGCAGCCTGTGGAGGCAGGAGTCGGGGAAGTCGACAAGCAGTGAGTTTGCATAGTCGAGCCTCGATGTAATGAAGGCGTGTATGAGGGTTTTGGTGGCCTGTAGTGTGAGTCAGTGTCGGAGCCGGGCAACGTTGTGGAGGTGGGGGAAGGCAGAGCGGGTCATGGCACGGATGTGGGGTAGAAAGGATAGCTGAGGGTTGAACAAGATCCCAAGGTTGCGGACTGGCTTAGCAAGATGGAGTGTGCAACCATGGATGGTGATGCTGTCAGCACCTGAGGTGAGGAGGCGCTGACGGGAGCCAATCAGGAGAGCCTCGGAGTAGAAGATGAATTTTATATCCCTCTGGATTTAAAACATTTTTCAACAACAACTTGCATCTAAATAGCACCCCTCACGCAAGGAAGCATCTCAGAGTGCTCAAGTGCTATTTCTTCAGTGAAAGTAGTGCAATTCTTTTTGTTGGCCTCTTTTTCTCTTCCTCTCAGCTGTGAGAGGATGAGGTCATTGTTTACCTCACTAGTAATGCTGGTCTTACCTGACTGGATGAAGGTGCAGAAATTCGGCAGAGACACTCTTACCAAATTCTTCCTGTCCTGGCCCCCATTCAGCAAAAGACTGGCACCTCAACAGGTACATCTTTGACCGTGCTTTCTGTCATCTTTTCCCCTCCCCACCTCGGGTGCACAGCCAACAATGTGAAGCGCTTTGAAACATCCTCCAAATGTGAAAGGCATTATATAAATTGCATTATACCTTAGCAGCATGGGGCCAACTGAGCTAGAGTCTTTTTCTCTGATTAGCATACAACACAGCATTTTGCAACATTGTGCAATTGGTAGCATAATTAGTAAACAATTCTAGTGTTTTTGAGTATTTTCTCCAAGTTTAAAAGCTATGTAAAACAGCACTGCAGTGGTGGGAGCAGTATTATAGCTGTTGCTGACATGATCTTACACTGGGGGCACTATTCGTGAGTATTAAATGGACAGTTTATTTTTGACTTGGGTGAGAAAAGAAGGAAAATAATTCAAATGAAAATAACAAATGACAGTCACACACATTCAATATTTCACGGGAATATTTCCATAAAACAAAATAACAGAAAAATGAAGTTACCCCAAATGTTACGTCATAATCTTTTGGAACAAAAGGCCGATCTGCAAGATCTTCAAAGAACTCAGCTAACGCATCTAATGTTTCTTCTGCTAGTTTTTCATAGCTGGCGTCATCCAGCACTCTGTGAACAAGCAGAATAATTCTTTAATCTCATCAGCATGGTTAGCTCTATGAGAACTCTAAGCATTTTCTATCATTTGCAATAACGTAGATGAAGTTTGTTTCTTGCAGATGGAGTACAGAGTGTCCAAATTCCTGTTACCCCCTGTTACAGAACAGCAATATGAGACTACAGGGAAGCTGAAACAAGCTGTCAGAGATGAATTTTGCCTTGTCACTCCATCCAAGGTACAAAAGATGTTGCACTGAACATGGCGAGGATCATTATCTGCCATGAAAATGATGGTACTCACACCGATTTAAACACTTGTACTGAATACATTGTTCTTCTAAATACAATTATCATCATCCTTCCACATGTTTCAGTTATTGGTCAGTGCACTGTAGAAAAAATACATGGGGTTAACAGATCTTTGTGGAGACCCTACATATTAAGATTGGAGTCATTTTTTCTCTTCTTGTTTTGCTTCCTTGCATGGGCATCCTCCTTCAATAAGGGTGAAAAGGGGGGGAGGGATTGAGAATGAGGCTCTTAGAAATGATGATCCATGATTTAAACCGCTCCAAATGGATGACACCTGTTGCTGCACTGCCATCAGCAACCTAACAAAATCCACGCAACACAACTAAGTAACTTAGAGCAATGGGTAGTTCAGTGATGTGACCTCACAATTCTCCGCAGGGGAAACGAGCATTCAACTGACTGCGCAAACAGATAATGAAGTCAAAAATGTTAATGAGGAAATTCCTGTTTTAATAATTATTTTAAAGTGTACTACATCTTAAAATGCCAATTTTGCCTGCCTTCCAGCATCTCTTTTAACTCATTCTGTGGCTCCCCCCATTCTGTCCACAGTTCATATGGAATCTCCTCAATAGTGTTTATAGTATGGTATGAAGTTACAGCATGAAAGCAGGGGGTCCTCAGCTATGATAGTCCTTGATCTCAAACCAAACAAAGGTGAGCTCCTCACAGATTATATGTCTACTCCCAAGTTGCCTTGGCCCCAAAGGTAACTGAAAAATATGAGTAAGTATGGAACTAGCTCCTTTATAACTAAGATAATAGAACAGTTCATTGAATAGACTAAAATGACCAATTCCACTTTTAATGAATTCCCTCAAGAGGAGCCAATGTTGCCATTATCTACAGCCCACCCTGTTTTCAGTCACCGGTAGAAGTTCTTGGGGCTAACTCCTACTTTCAAGCTCTCAGTTATTGCTACAGCCAACCTGTGCTTTTAAACAGCGTCTAATTTATACAGAGATTTTCAATTGTATGGTGTCAGGTAGCAGCAGGTATTAAAATCAAGATGTACCAGAAAACATTCCTACCCTGCTGCTTCAAGTGACACCAATAAACACAATAAATTTAAACAGGTCCATACTGACTACAATTAATAACATATTTGATTCACAGATTATCTTTAAAAACATCCCAATGTCCAGAATCAATCAAATTCCCTCCATTACTTGTCTATCATTGCTAAGGTCATCCTCTAAATCATATGAGGAAGCAGGTGGAGAAATAATGGAACTACCTAAGTGAATTACAGATCGCTACATTTACTGAGACTGCAGTTATTATGAAAGATTTAGGACGTACTGTATAGACACAAAATAAATGCTTGGGTTGATTTTCAAATGAGAAGGTTAAATAGTGGCTTTCTGGGTTTTATTAGAGAACATGAAACTAAATTAAGTTAGTTTTGGCTACACACAGACTAGTTGAATACAACAGAATAATTGGTCAGTTTCGACTACCTGTTGATAATTCCATTTTGCCTCAAAGCGGAGGAATGAATTTTCTTTGACTGGATTTTCAACCTTGAGTGTAAATGCTGAAAACTCTACAAAACAGAAAACAAGGATAAATTGAAAATGCATGAGTGAAGGTAAAGCTTGAATACTAAATACCCATTACATATTCAGCATACAGTTCTTACATTTCCAACATTTGCATCAATAATAAGAAAATAATCTTTGCATTTCACTGGTGCTTGGGTGTCATGGACAACACACAATATCTTAGCATACCATAATAATGACTGTATATTTTGTGGGCAATTTAAATGCATAAAATAATTTGTAAAACAAACATGCAGTTCAAGTATTAAACATTACAATACAAACCCATTAAAAATGCAACAATTGTTCTCCGATGCAGCTTTACTCACGAATGAGGCAATATAAAAAACTGGCCAAATACCACAATTGGCTGCTGCATTTTGCCCACAAAATGTAGGCAATTCACTTTACAGTATATTGTGATGCACTTTGAGACGTCTCGAAAATGTGATAAGTCACTATATCAAATGCAAGGATTATTATTACTATTGCAGGGCTGGAAATATACCTTGTCTTTGTTCACAAAGTTTTAACCATAAGTTCACCATTCTAGTATTTAATACATGGGAATTGAGAAGAGCCTGAATGATGTGATCCTATAAAGTATATAAAATAATAAATGGGATACAGAAAGTAAACCCAAATCAAGAAGGTATACATTTATGGCTGTGAAGGGCAAGTTTATGATCAATGCCAAGAAGTATCTATTTTTAACATGAGCTGCAATGGGTTATCCTGAAGAGTGTTGGAGGACCAAAACTGGATTCAGTTAAGAAACAGTTTGATGCTGTAAAAGGAAGACATAGGAAGGAAAGGGTTAGTATACAGATTTTTTAAAGTTTTTTTTTGGACTGAAGGGCCCATTCTTGTAGTTTCTTGTTGTCATGTGAATTCCAGCAGATTGTAATTGAAAGATGAGATTAAAGCCAAGAATTAAACCAAGCTGTGTGGAAACTATTTGAATCAGTTACGTGACTTGCTGTTATGATGATGCATGTGGATGGATATGCCTTGATGTCCACAGGATTTCCTACAAAGTTGCAGAAAAAGTAACAGTATGCAAATACTCTTGGAAAAAAACAGCAATTTACAGGGAAACAGCAAATTATAAGGAATCTAGTCAAGAAGTAAAGAACAAAAAATATACTTTACAAGAAGTTTACCCATTTTGGGGAATTCAGCAATGACAAATGCTGTAACCTTGAAACAATTTTGTTTACCTTCTTTGCACAGAACTCAGAACAAATCAAAACATGGCAATGCTCAGAGGTTCTCTGGTGTGAGGGCCGGTGCTTTGGGTAAGTTGGAGCTCCCTCTGGTGGAACATCATGGATCAGTCTGCGAGACACTGTTTTTGGAGTTCACTCTCGTGAAATATTGTCATCTACTCAAAATACTGTCACTAGTTGCTAATGCAAACGATCTTTTCATTAGTTACCCATAGCAATTGGTGGAAAATAATATCCACCATTCACTAAAGATATATGAAAGCTAACTGTGGTGGAATTATTTAAGGTTGTGACACAATTTTTGAGGTGGTTTGGTATGTTCACTGGTATCTTTTTGGAGATGATTTCATTGCATTTTAAAATGTGTTTTCAGCTGACAATAGTAATCTTTATCAGTGCAGTTATCCCACATTTCAAGCGTAAACAATTAGGGAATCTAGTAGATGAAATAGTAATAATAATCCTTGCATCTGATATGTTGTTGAGACGTCTCAAATTGCTTCACAGAATATATTGTAAAATGTGCATTTTATGAAAGAAATACTATCAAATAGGAAAATTAGCCTGTCCGTCATTTTGAATTTTATAGGCGGCTACCACGATATTCAGAATAACATCACGTAGATGAGTTTTGGTGGTCCATATTTGAATACTCTATTTTCCCCCAAAGTGATTCTGCTTATTGTATACTAAAGAGTTTTCACCATTTAAAAATACATTTGGGGCTCCATTTAAAGTACAACATTTTTAAAAATAAGAATAAAAAAAGCTGTAAAAGCATGTCAATTAGCATCTGAATGAGAAAGATAGGCTAATGTAAAGACATGACCCTTTATTGGAGCAATGAAAGAAGTTCATAGGATAGAGGAGGGTAAGTAGGTACAGAACAAAATAAGCTGATTATGTATAGCATTGTTTTGTAGTATATCTTAAAGAGGAAGCTCTGACAGTCAGCACAGCTTCTTGTCATCTGCCGATTAACCTTCAAGTTGCTTCCACACTCCAGGTACTTGTGGCAGTGTTGTTGTGGATACAGGCAGAAACATACAACACCATTGTGTGGAGCAATGCAGTTGGATCCATTTTGCTCTGCAAAAGGTTTTAGATAATTATTTTTGTAATTGCTGCTACCAAAGAAATAAAAACAGAGGCGAGGAGATACGCTTGGATATTAGATGACCTCTGGGCTTGGATATTTTCCTGGTTCTGCTACCATTAATTTGGTATTGGGATTTGTAGAAATGAAATTTATGGACGACACCTCGAATAGCATGTTACAACTAATCACATTATATGTTTCCGCTCATGTTCAGAACTTCACCCATTATCCTCACATATTCTTATCCTCACATATCCGCAACAATTATATAAGTGGAGGTAACTCATTCTTGAGGCGGCAGGTGAACAAATAAAAGGGCCTAGGATACTGATACCAGAAAACGTGTTCACTTTATATTATTGGTTACTTCCAGAGACGTGCTTGTCACTGCACGCAAATTCCTAAGGTAACAATGGTATTAGTTAAGATCTCTAACTACATATAAATGGCACTTTGTGGTTATTGTGAAATGCTCCAATACGTGATAAACTACTGTATTAGGCAAAGGTGAGTGAGGCAAGTAAAAAGCATAATATTCTTGTACACGTGCGTAAAACAACTGAGAGTGGGGTGTAACAATAATATGTTTAAATATATTATTAAATTCATTGTTCAGGCCTGTGGAACCTGACGTTAATGTTGGCTGAGACTAAACAGGAAAGTAAGGGAGGGAAGAGTTGAATTTGAAGTTGGGAGGAGGGTGGGTAGAGAAAATGGTCAATATCCAGGAGGGAGGAGAAAAATGTTTAAGGACAAAATGTAGATGCTTGGCAAAGTGATCTCCCAATCTGTAACTGTTCTCACCAATGTAAAGGAGATGCACCATGGAAGGACCCCAGACAACAAAAACAAAATTACATTTATAGAGCACCTTTCGCATGGGGAGGGCAACAACAACAACAACTTGGATTTATATAGCGCCCTCCATGCCGGATGGCGTCTCAGAGCGTTTCACAGTAACAGATCCCGGGGCCGAGCCAGGGGGAGGGGGAGGAAGGTGACCAAAGGCGCGGTCGAAAAGAAATGTCTTCAGCAGAGACCTGAAAATAGGAAGAGAGGTGGCGAGGCGAAGGGAGTGAGGAAGGGAATCCCAGAACCTCGGGGCATAGTGGCTGAAGGCATGGCCGCCGAGGGTGGAGCAGAGGACTCGGGGGACAAGGAGGAGGCCAGACCTGGAGGAACGAACAAGGACGTCCCAAAGCGCTGAACAGTCAGGTGTCGGGGCCCGAGCATGGGAAAGGGGTGGTGTAGGGGTGAGGAAAAGCAGAGGTGGGAGACCAAAGGCACGATTGAAGAGACCGACCTTGAAGGAGGCACAGGGAGGAAGTGAGGCGAAGGGACCGTGGGATGGAGTTCCAGAGTGTGGGGGCAGAGAGGCTGAAAGCTCAGCTACTGATGGTAGGGCGGGTTGGGCGGGAGACATGGAGCAGGCCGGAGCCCGATGAACGGAGTGAGTGGGCAGGTTGGTAGGGAGTCAGCATATCAGAGAGATAGGAGGGGGCCAGGCCATGGATGGCCTTAAAAGTGAGGACGAGGACCTTGAACTCAATCCTCTGGGGGATGGGGAGCCAGTGGAGTCAGGGGAGGGTGGGAGTGATGGGGTCACGTGAGAGTACATGAGCTGCAGAGGTTTGGATGATCTGCAGTTTGTGAAGGGAAGAGTTCGGAAAGCCGATGAGGAGGGAGTTTCCGTAATTGAGCCTTGATGTGCTTTGGGGTACTGTTGGAGTCTAACCAACTAAAACCGCATAGCCATTGATATTGCTGTCTGGTAAGCTTTCTACTGTTTGTCCAGCTAGGACCATCCTTCCCATTAGGGCTTTGGCTTGCAGGGTTAACAGGAGCTGAGTGGTGGGATGACTCCCTGCCCCCAGTGACAGGTTTGCACTTCCAACAGCAACTTGCACTTATTTAGCAACCTCCAGGCCGGGCGGCGTCTCAGAGCGGAGCCCGAGGCCGAGCCAAGGGGAGGGGGAAGGTGACCGTAGGCGAGGTTGAAAAGGAAAGTCTTCAGGTGTGACCTAAAGATGGGGAAGGAGGGGATGAGGCGAGAGGGTTGAGGGAGGGAGTTCCAAAGTTTCAGGACGTGGTGTCTGAAGGCACGGCCGCTGATGGTGGAGCAGAGGATTCGGGGGACACGGAGGAGGTTGGACCCAGTAGAGCGGAGGCAGCGGGTACTGCTGAGGGGGGAGAGGAGGTTAGAGAGATGGGGGGTGCCAAGGAACGGAGGGATTTAAACACTAGAGGGAGGATCTTGAAGTTGATTGGCTCTGTGACAGGGAGCCAGTGGAGATCGGCAAGGACTGGGGTAATCGGGGTACGGTGTTTGGTGCGGGTGAGAATGCCGGATGGCAGAGCTTTGAATGAAACTTCCAGGTCCTGCCAATGAGCCAGGCTGGATAGTGCCCAGGAATACCGCACACCCACCGGCCTCAGGAACCGGACGATCAAGACCGTCACAGAGGGCTGCCTCTCGATTCTGACATCCCGTCGCCAAAACACGTCACCTTGGAGCCAGGTCAGCTGCAGGGAGACCCGGCTTACCGCCCCCCAGGACGATAATAATAATAATAATAATAATGATCTTCTGAGTTTTATTTGGCACCCTATCACGCTGTCTAGACGGCTCAAAGCGCTTCAAAGGATACAGAGCGCTTTGGGACTGTCTCCCGATGTGAATGCTACTGTACAGGTGCGACGCTGTATTATAAATGTGCAGTGAAGAGGACTGACTGACTGTATATTTTCCGGGTGAAGCGTGGCGGCCAATTTGCGCACAGCTGTGTCCCGCAGTGTACTGCCATGGAATGAGCGACTGACTTTATTTGGTGGATTGCCGGCCAGGCCCTCAGGAGAGAGACACTCCCTCCTCCTTCCGAGGAGCGCCATTGGGATGTTTAACATCCACCTGAACAGGTGGCAGGAGAAGCGTCACCAGTGTGTGCGTGTGTGTGCGTGTGTGGGCGGGACTGGAGGCCTGTGATTGACGTGGCCCCCAACCACTCAGGGAACCCGCCCTCCACAAACGGACCAATGGCAGCGCGGCGCGACCCGAGGTCAGGTTCGGTTAAGCAGCGCGCGCGGGGGGCGCGGGGGAGACGGTTGCGATCCTCTAACGGTCACAACGACTAATGGTGATGGCGGCGACGGCGGCAATGGCGCCTCCTCCCCCCCCCCCCAGCATTCACTGCCCGATTGTGAAAGAGCTGCCACTACACACACTGACACACACACACACACACAGCTGCACTCACCGTTTGGAAAGCGACTCGGGCCGGCAAGGAACGGACGGACGTCACCCGACCCGCCGCTGTTGCTGTCCAGCGACATGCGAGGTCCCGGAGGCAGCGGCCGAGGAAGCCCGACATGGTCGCCGGGGAGACGAGTGGTCACCTCAGCCGGCGCCGGAAACCTGCGCGCGCAACCGCGGTCATCGACTCCGCGCCCTGCGCACCGCATGGGTGATGACGCTCCTCCTCCTCCCCCCCCCGGGGGGCGGGGCTGAGGTGATTGGGGTTCCCTTGGAGCTGAACTGGCACCAAAGTGACAGGTCTGGCAATGGAATGCCGGGATCCAGCCAGCCCTCTGGTGGTCTCTCTAATAGTAATAATAATAATAATCCTTGCATTCGATATAGCGCTTTTCACGTCGGGAGGACGTCCCAAAGCGCTTCACAGAACACACTGTAAAGTGAATTGACTGTATATTTGTGGGCGAACGCGGCAGCCAATTGCGCACAGTAATGTCCCACAAACAGTCGTAGATTGAAAATGACCAATTTATTATTGTTTTTGGTTTTGGAGGGATTATTATTAGGCTCTGTGTGGAGTAAGGAAACTTGCCCAAGGTTTCGCCCTCTGCCTGGAATTGAACTCAGGTCTCTCACTTGCAAAGCGAGTGCTCTAACCACTGAGCTACAGGACTCCACAAATCTAGTCTGGTTGCTGAGCCTGGCAGGTCTGCAGTGTTTCAGGGCACTGCTGATGGCAGCACAGCCGGCCGGGCTCATCAGCAGGACCTGGAAGGGCAGACCAGTCACTGGGGGGGCAGGGAATCATCCCTTTCAGCTCCTGTTCCTTCTGCAAACCAAAGCCTTAATGGATAGGGTGGTCCTACCTGGACAAGCAGCGGGAAAGCTTGCCAGACAATAATTTCATAGAATCATACAGCACAGAAGGAGGCCATTCGGCCCATCGTGCCTGTGCCGGCTAATTGAAAAGAGCTATCCAATTCAATCCCACTCCCCCGCTCTCACCCCATAGCCCTGCAAACATGTCTTCCCCAAATAATTATCCACTTCTCTCTTAAAAGTTGTTATCGAATCAGCTTCCACTGCCCTTTCAGGCAATGCATTCCAGATCCTAACAACTTGTGTGAAAAAATTCTCCTCACCTCCCCTCTGTTTCTTTTAACAAATATTAATGACAAGGTTTTAGCTGGTTAGACTCCAGCAGTACCCCAACACACACTATGGGTCCCTAAGCCTTGGGTCTTGCCGAGCTGCGCCTAACACTTAATGAAATCAGGTAAGTGGGATGTGTCCCTCCAGGGAGAGAGTGCGCATTCCATTCCAACAATCTATCTCTGGGATTTCCACATGTAGGTGGGATGCAAGGAATTCTCAGTTTGGTTTGGATACTCTTAAGCATGGTGATGGGTTTCCGTATGTATTAGACACTTGGCTGACTCCTCCACAAGATAAGCAGGAGGTTTTGGCAACAAACCCTGATCAATGTGGCCAGAATTGGGTGGGTTTTTGTTCTGTGCGTGAAACAGCTCTGTGCATGTGCCTACTTTTTTTAAATTTAGATTTCACAAGCACTAACCTAAATCAGCCACTCTGCTACCCATAGGAGGCAACGTTGACATTCGGCTATTTTTGGGCTAGTATTTGGTTGACTGGGCTGCAAACGTATTTAATTTCTGGCATCCTTGGCCATGAGGTAAGCAGGAGCATTTCACAACTAACCTGACTCCCCCGCCACAGAGAAGACTGCGTCTCAACTCTGGTGTTTCAACTTCATTGGAAACTTTAAAAACAAACTATTAATTGTCATAGTGCATGCATAAGAGTTGAGTGTCATTGGCATACATGTGGAAGTTGACCCCCATGTCTGCGGATGATGTCACCAAGAGGGAGTAATATGGCAGACATGGGGTGATTGACCAGGAGGGGACCAAGGACAGAGCCCTGAGGAACGAGACAGTATGGGGGCTAGAGGAGAAGCCATTCGTGGAGATGAAATGGAGATGGTGTGAGAGGTAGGATCTGAACCATTCAAGGGCAGAACCATGAAGGTTGAGGTGAGAGGACAGGTGGTAGAGGATAGAGCAGTCAATGGTATCAAAGGCAGCAGAGAGGTCAAAAAGGATGAGGAGACAGAGGGAGACCTGGTCGCAGATGGACAAAATGCCATTTAATAAATAAATAAGAACAATAATAATTGTTATTTTGACTAAAGCTGTTTCTGTGCTGTTTCTGTGATAAGGCCCTACATCAAATGCAAGCATTATTATCATTTATTATGTTGCCCCAACGTTCCATTTTTATCTATTCCTGTTTTTCCCCACTTTTCACCCTCTTTTTCTTCAGCCTTGATTTGTCCCTATAAATTCAACTTATTCAATCCTCCCCACCTTCTGCCTCCCCCAAAATTTCTAATTGTTTGTCTCCTTAATATGCCACTGTATTAAACACATATTTATCATTTATCAAGCACTCTGAGAGGCTAATCCACATTTCGTTTTGGTCAGCCAAGCGTCTAACATGCGAAAACCCATCACCACACTCTCTCCCTGGAGGACGCATCCTGCTTACCTAATTCTGGAAAGTATTAGGCGCAGGTTGGCAAGAGCCAAGGCTTGGGGACCCCAGAGTGTGTTGGGGTAACTGAAGCCTAACCAGCTAAAAACACATAGCTTGCCATTGATATTGTTGTCTAGCAAACTTTTCAGCTGCTTGTTCAGCTGGGACCATGCTACCTGTTAGGGCTTTGGCTTTGCAGGCTTAACAGTGGGAAGAGTTCCTGACCCCAGTCTTCCCTTCCAGCCAAGTTGGCTGTGCTGTCATCAGCAGTGCCCTGGAATATTGCGGACCCGCCTGGCTCAGGAACCGGTCTACCGAGACTGCCACAGAGGAATGGCTCGATTCCGTCATTCCATTACCAGGCATGTCACCTTGGAGCCAGTTCAGCTGCAAGGAGACCCTGCTTACCTCTCTCCCTCTGGAGGACAGTTACTACCTAACATGAAGGGACTTGCAAGTTGTTGTATCATTGATTTGTAAATCTAGGTTGCTTTTTCAGAAGAGCCAGCTCTTTCACTAACGCCTCAAATATTAGTGGCCACAGATTTGAGTGGTCCAGATGATCATAACCAGCTTTCCAGAAACATTAAACACCGTTAGGGTAGACAGTTGGATTGTCCAACAACTTTTAAACTTGTTTAGGTTTTGTGAAGTTTTGGAAACACTAAATAACCACCAAAATAAAAATAACGGTACTTTTTCCAGCAATAACAACTTGCATTTATATAGTGCCCCTCACACAGGGTAGCAATATAACTTTATCAAATCAACATTGACAATATTGATATAAAAAGGGCTTTTTCCATGCATGGAAGAAACACTTCTTTGAGCAGGTGTATGGGAATGTTCTGTTGCACATCTTGTAAGACATCAGTACAACATTCCTGAGAATGTAACAAAGGTGATTTGATCAGAACAAATTTGTTTTACTGTACCGAAAGTTACAAACAGCATACAAGTGGTCCTGATCTAGTCTAGCATACTCAGCAAACACAACCAGAATCCACCAATTGTATGTCCATCAATAGTAAGTCTGCACCCAGTGCTACTTGATAAGTTTTACATTTTCTTGGAAATCTGAACTCCTTTTAGGTGTGGTACTGCATTACTCTGCTAATAGTGTTGGTTATCTGGGAGCAGCTGTCCCACCCACATTCAGTCTGCTCTATCAACAAAGACATGGTTCATCGATGCTGATCCTGCTTATTGCCTGGTTGGTCAATGGAGTGATAAAGCTTGCTCTGAAAATCTCAGGCATGTCGCAGAATACCAGTGAATGCTAATTAAGGTACAATTTGATAGTGCGTGCCTGCTGGGGCGATGTCCAGACACATCTTAAGGAAAAATTTCAACAGACATTCAGAGTTACTTCTGCTATCAGCAACATCCTCAATCCACTCAGAAATTATTATTCAATTAAATATTGACTGTTCACAGTTCTACAAGGAACCTTGCTCCTCCCATGAGAGCCTGACAGTCAACCCGTACAAAAAAACCAAGACCACAAAGTTACACTATTTACATCTGTACACCAGCATTGCCCACTATTTACATCTATACACCAGCATTTCCAGAAATAGATAGTGTTTGTGTTCAAAAATTGAGAGTTTCCCCATCATCCCACCACCAAATCCTTTGACATCTTCACAGCAGAACACGGGAGTGATCTGAAGCCTTGACACAGAATATAAATATTATAGTAATCTACCTTTCACCAGTTGTACAATATTACATCTTCACATTACAGTAGACAAATAGGTTGTACTCTGATTAGATTGTCAAATGAAACCATGTAATCACTTCTGCATTGACTTCTTTGAAAATAAATCCAACTATCAGTAGACATCCGTCACTAGATCTATCAAATACCATTCTTCTGCTCTTTTCGCACTTCCCACATAATGAACAAATTTGCTTCTAAATATAGTTACTGACTGAGCTTCAATGGTATTAAAGGTACAGCATTATGCATCCTAACAAACCTCTAATATTTCTTCAAATCTCCCCCTTTTTCCTAATAATATTCAATTTATGTTCTTTTATCACTGACTCAGTGATCAGTGGAAAAGTCCACCTTAATCAAACGCTTCACCATTTAAAATTATTAAATTCCTTAAAGTTAAAAGCTTAAACCTTCATTATAATCCTTTCATTTGAAATGGAACTTTTCACATCGGGAAAATGTGAAAGTGGAGTCCTGTAGCTCAGTGGTTAGAGCACTCGCTTTGCAAGTGAGAGACCTGAGTTCAATTCCAGGCAGGGCAAAACCTTGGGCAAGTTTCCTTACTCCACACGCCTAATGATAATCCACCCAAAAAACCAAAAACAATAATAAATTGGTAATTTTCAATCTACGACTGTTTGTGGGACATTGCTGTGCGCAATTGGCTGCCGCGTTCGCCCACAGATATACAGTCAATTCACTTTACAGTATATTCTGTGAAGCGCTTTGGGACGTCCCCCCGATGTGAAAAGCGCTATATCAAATGCAAGGATTATTATTATTAATGTCTCAAAGTCACTTCTTGCCAGAGGGACAGTCAAGAACTCACTCCCCAAACATTGACACAAGTCTATGTAAGTCGGTGTTCAATGGGTTGTGTGTTTTCAGTTTATTCTTGAATATTTTTTGATTTATGCCATAAAACAAAAAATATTCAATCAAGTAAATATATTTTGTTGGCCAACCATAAAGGTTTTAAAAAAACATAGAACATAAGAACACAAGAATTATGAGCAGGAGTAGGCCATTTGGCCTCTCTAGCCTGCCCCGCCATTCAATAAGATCATGGCTGATCTATTCTAACTCCACCTACCCGCCTTATCCCCATATCCCTTAATCTCTTTATCCACAAAAAATCTATCAATCTCAGACTTGAATATGTTCAAGGACTGAGCATCTACAGCCCTTTGGGGTAGAGACTTCCATAAATACACTACCCTCTGAGTGAAGAAGTTTTTCCTCAACTCAGTGCGAAAGGGCTTACCTCTAATTTTAAGACGGTGACCCCTGTTTATAGTTTCACAAACCAGGGGAAAAAGTCTCCCACTATCTATTCTGTCGTGTCCCTTAATAATCTTATAGGTTTCTATAAGATTACTTCTCATTCTTCTATATTCTAGAGAATTTAGGCCTAAATTGCTCATCCTATCCTCATAACTCATCCCACTCATCCCTGGTACCAACCTAGTGAATCTACGTTGTACCCCCTCCAAGGCGAGTACATCCTTTCTTAAATAAGGAGACCAAAACTGCACACAATACTCCAGGTGTGGTCTCACCAGGGCCATATATAGTTGCAGCAAGACTTCCTTACTCTTATATTCTAACCCTTTTGTAACAATAAAACAATAAAGGTTGGCCACCACAAGATCAGCCAATTTATTTTAAGATACTACAACTACTACTAATAATCCTTGCATTTGATATGGCACCTTATGTTGAGAAGTCTCAAAGCGCTTCACAGAATATATTGTAAATTGGAGTGATTATATATTTTTGTGGGAGAAATGCGGCAGCCAATTGCGCACAGCAGTGTCCCGTAAACAGTTGTGGATTGAGTGACCATTTCTTGGGTGGGGGGGTTATTAACCCCGGAAATCAATTGCTAATCGACAAGCATCTAGGTTTCTACTTATTGCTGGATAAACAAAAGCGAAATAAAAGAATAAGGAAACGTGCCTCAGGTTTCAGCCCATTTCAAACCTGGGCCCTCTTACTTGCGAGGACGTAGCTAACCACTAAGCTACAGGCCTCCACATTTTAGGATTTCAACATGGATGCTATAAACGTGATTTTTTTTGTAAAAACCTATATATCCGAAGAGATCAAACATTTCAAATAAAATGCCCACAGTTGTAATGCAGTTTCAGAATGACCATTAGATGGCAGCAAATGCACACAAACACCAAAGAACCTTTCTTTTCCCAGAAGCTATTTAGATGGATTAAAATGCATTAGTGTTACAAATTAATTCCAAAAAGCAATAAAACTAGGGCAATCTTTGGTTCAATTTATTTTTGTTTATCAACGTAAAACAAATTTGAAGCAGCAAATTAGTGTTATAATAATGCACACAACAAACAGCATGTCCCGAGTCAAATCTCCAACTCATTTGTCATTCTGAAGATCCATAACGTACAGGAGCAAAATTGGCTTTACTTCAGGCAGTATTAAAATTATTGGTCTGTATAGGTGAAAAGATGGTGAATGCCTTAGTGATGGTGTGTCAGCCTAGCTCAGTTTGTAGCGCTCTCACCTCTGGATCAGGGTTCAAACCCCACATTGAGATGTGGACTCACATCGTCTAACAGAACGCTCCAATGCAGTGCTGGGATGTCTTGCACTGTGCTTTGGATGAGATATTAAAACCGAGGTTCTATCTGCCTGTTTAGGTGGATGTTAAAGATTCCTTGGCATTATTTGAAAAGAGAAGGGAGTTTCTCCGTGTCCTAGCCAACAATCGCTCCCAAATAAAATTAGTCATTCACTCAATGGCTGTTTGTTGGGCATTGCTGTGCGCAATTGGGCTGCAGCATTTGCCCACAAATACAGTCACTCCACAATAAATCCTGTGAAACACTGAGATATCCTCCCAATGTGGAAGGCGATATACCAAATGCAAGGATTATTATATTTTTGAATAAAGTGCATTATCCACTTGATTAAATCATTAAGGAAAAACAAACCTAGTAAGTTTAAAAAAATACAGTAAATCACTTCCAGAACTAAGTTGAACTTTATTGATACAATGCTGGTGCTTTCGTTCCAAGTGCTTTCTTTCCGTTGTTGACAAAACTTGCCAAAATCATCAGTTTATCCTGGATAGAGTGCATAACTAACCCATGTCCACTGGGTTACTGAGCGTATCTCTCTTGCATGCCTCATCTCTCCACAGAATGGTTGCAAGATGACATAATTTAAATACATTTACGTTCAATAATTATGCAACCTTTAAATAATCTGCACAGGATTGCTTAAAGAAAAGGTACAGTCAATTCCATTTTCTAAGTCATAAAATGATTAAGTCCTATACAATTCTTACATATGCAACATTGACTTAACAGGCCAGTTTTATTTTACATCTCAGAACATTATTTTATCATTGTCATTCCAGTACAATACTATAGGTTAAGTGGACATTTAGGTTATAAGAAGCATCTCTGTCTCAAGCAAACTGTTTACAAATTGAAAGATATTTACACAGACCTTAAGGCCACCCTAGAAAGAGTTCATTAAAATAGACTTTTGTCAATTTTTAAAATAGACATTGAGATGAAGAACACACATTTCTGTAAACCTGTTTTTCAACCGACAGGTAAGCAAAAGTAGGTTTTCTATCGGTTAATGTGGGCATGTGCAAATGTTGCAATTGAATATAAGCCGAGTACTGTACAAAGTAGACAATTTTATACATAGGCTTGTTGAAAGACTGCTTCTTAGGAAATTTAGCAAAATAGAATGGTTAACATTTAAGCTTTAGGCAATCTATTTTTGGCATCAGAATAAAGGTACTTCGTTACTGTTAGTCAACACTGAAATGTATGCAGCTACCAAATTATTGTCCTGCATAAATATAAAACTAGTGGAATTTCAGAACCAATTGAAACGACAAACTCTTCAGTCAGCATTTAAAGTTTCAGGTGGGTTCACTACATGAAAAAAATAAAGCCATCTGTACAGCAAGCAAGCAAGCAATACAGAATGGTGCTGAAGTGTGAAATGTTTCTTGTGACCTCCCTCCTGTTGAATGTCTGGTGACAAACTTCTGCGGCACATATTAGAATTTATAGAATCCTCCCTTTACTAGATGTCCATTTAAATTCTTCATGAGCTCTGGAGTGTACCATGTGCCTCCAGATAAAACAACGTTCATGTGCAATCTGGATTATATTCTTCCTCTTCCACCTTCTCTTCAAATAATTCCTCACAATGATTACTAGGGGAAACAAAAAACAAAAATTTTCCTTAGAATTTCCAAAACAAGGAAACCTTAACCATTATAATGTTGCCCACGCTGTCCACCCTTTTTATCGGACTACACAATATAAAATCATCTGCATAAAACACTACATTTCTTAAAATGTACTTAGAATATTCAAACGTATCATGAGGAATTTTTTTTTAATTGTCTTTTAAACACAAAATGCCAGCCTAAGATGGTCATATTTGGTCCATACATTTAATTTGGAAATTCTTCAATTAAAATGATTCCAAGAATATTTGCCAGGTTAAATATGTTTCAAAAGGCATAGTGTAGACATTATCATTTGAAGTCTGTTTTCCATAGTTCTTAAATTTACAGAAAAAAGCTTAAAATTGAGAATTTGGTGAAATCTGAATGGTCAGAAAATGCTACATAAATAAAGTAAATCCAGACTCGAGTTGAATTTATCTCTCTCTTCCACCCCTATACACTATTAAAAAAAGTAAAATTTTAATGCAGCATAAAATAGAGACCACTCCACTGATAGTAATAATTAAAGTACATCAGCCCTCTTAGAGTAGTCCAACTCTAAAGACAATCAAAAATGGGGAAAGGTCATTTGGCTGAAACTTTAGTACCAATGCCCTAATAGAGCATCTAACTGTCCAATTTTTACATAAAACTGCAATGCCTCATCTTGAAGAATATCGAGTAAAAAGGTTCATGGTTTATATGTATGCTCTCTGGTCCTACTTTGCTGGTTTCATTTTAATATTAATACCCCCATTTACCACCTGAATGAGATCCCCCTCCAATACAACTGATTGAGGAGGTGACAAAGATCACACACTAAACATTGTCCATAGTAGTCTTCCATTCCTTGAAGCTTAATGGAAACCAGTTCTGACACTCATCTTCCCTTAATCTCGTATCCACACAGGGACCAGTTCTCTTCATGACATCTTCTAAAAGTATTTGAGTTTACCCTGAGGTAAAGGTCTCAACCTGAAGCAGAATGTGTGGCATGTTCTTTGATTGCTGGAGTGAATAAAAATAACCAACTGTACTGTAACTACATAGCCTGTGCAGCACCAAAACAACAACAACAAAATTACATTTGGATAGCGCCTCTCATGTCGGGAGGACGTCCCAAGGCGCTGGGAAGCAGGCCATATGTGTGTGTCAGCCCATAATGCTGCAATAAGGTTTCCCTGTAGCAGATTGGATAACATCAGAGCAGTGTAAACGAGCAGTATTTCAATGGGAGGTTTTACTTTCTGTCAGCACTCCCTGTAGACAAATACTCAAAACTCAACAAGGAAATAACCTGACTTGCAGGCTCAGAGAAACAAAACTTTGACCATGAACGCAATTGCTCAATAAATATATTGCGACAAACCCATTTGTAAGATGAATATGCTCAGCTTAGTGTGTGGCAAATTGATGGGAGGAGTATATTTACATAAGAAAGCACAAACGTGTAGAAACTGTAACAGCCATAATACATGCACATGTATGACTAATGCAGAAGTAAACAGTGTAAAGTGCAAGATATTAAAGGTAGGTATTTAGTCTCACATGATTAAGGCAACTTATCACTTGTTTTCATTTACAATTGGGGTCAAGATTACGTTTTCCATTTGTCCCTTAGTGGCACATTACATAGGTGTACCAATTTTTATTACATTTTCAACTGTCTATTTATGATAGACTAGAGATAAATTTGAACTGCTGCTTTATTTAGTAACATAACCAAGCTTGCGATTGCAAGGATTGAACTCAATCACCCTTCTACTACTTTCATGTCTAACACATGTGGAAACCCATCACCGTATTTAAGAGTATCCAAACCAAGCTGAGATTTCCATGCATCCCACCTACACATGGAAATCCTAGAGATAGGTTGTTGTAAAGGAATGTGCGCTCTCTCGCTGGAGGGACGCATCCTGTTTACCTAATTCTGGAAAATATTAAGCGCAGGTTGGCAGGAGCCAAGGCTTGGGGACCCCAGAGTGTGCATCAGGGTACTGCTGGAGTCTAACTAGATAAAATTGCATAGCTTGCCATTGATATTGCTGTCTGGCAAGCTTTCCTTTTGCTTGTCCAGCCAGGACCACCCTACCCATTGGGGCTTTGGCTTGCAGGGTTAACAGGAACTGAGAGGGATGACTCTGTGCCCCCAGTGACTGGTCTACCCTTCCAGGTCCTGCCAATGAGCTGTCATCAGCAGCGCCCTGGAATACTGCAGACCCTCCTGGCTCAGAAACTGGATTACCAAGACTGTCACTGGCTCGATTCTGATTTTCTATTGCCAGGCATGTCACCGTGGAGCTAGTTCAGCTCCAAGGAGACCCCAATTACCTTCCCCTCTCCCCAAGGAGGATAGTAGGATAAGAGTGGTAGGATATACAATTGCCTATGTGAAGTCTTTCTAAACTTGACTTAGGCCAGGCATTTGTTGTATATATGACAATGAGAGACATTTCAAGTTATTAAGTTGCTCCTATCAGCTAGCTAGACAGTAATTGCTGAGGCCTGAGAGAGCTTGGTATTTACCCTTACCACAACTCTGTAGTATGTTAGTGCTGCCTGGGAGACTAGAGTTCAAGCACTAGTCTTTAGTTAATGTTTGCATTTTAGTTTCTCTCAAAGGATTCGGTTTGCTTATCTTGGCTGGGCTGCTTGGAGAGATAAGTCAGTAGAGAGAAGTTCTCTTTCATTACTTAAATGTACCTCCTGGTAGGCTAACACTGGAGCTACTGACAGACCGATGGTTCTTTCCTTATTAATCGCAAAGAAAACACAGGAAAATCTATGTACATCTTTGTACACACAAAGAGAAAGGAAGTGCTGTTAGTTATTCCATAATACTGCATGAACACATGGGATACAATTTCCTAAATCTCGTACCAAGACCAACTAAGAACAATTTCTCACCTATTCTAATCAATTCACTCCAGGATTCTGTGTAAATAATACTGAATAATCTTGCACCCTAAAGTTGGAGATAGACAGAGGCTTTGTGCTTTTCAAATGGTAGTTGATGTTACGTGCATGAAGTGCACTACAATATATAAATGCAAGTTGTTTCTGAATTTATTGAAGTTATTTCAAATTTATACTTTAAAGACGATGTATAAACTCAAATTATTCTATACTTTTAGATTATCGTGAGATAAATTAGATAACATGAAGAAAACATAAGATAGATCAATAATGACTCACTGAATATAGTATTTAGAAGTAGCATCTCTGCTAAAAAAACAATAAAGTAAAGCCAAAACAAAACTAGACAAGTTTGCAAATTATAAACACCTATATCATCACAATAAGAGGTCATCTAACCTGAATTTTCCATAGTGGACGTGTTTTTAAAAAAAACGATTGACACTGTTCAATAACTTATGGAGTCCGATTGTGATACATTATAAAAACACCACTGATTTTAATTCAGATGAATATTTTTAAAAATATGCACCATTTACACCTATAAAGATATATTAAACTCTGCCTACAGGTCTCAACTGATGCCAAAGCAATTCACCAGGTCTTTTCACAGTGGTTTATTTTCACGTAGCACCTTCTATGGAAATGAGAGTACACTGGAGGCAGAAGAGTTCAGCTGCCAAGCCTTTACATGGGTCACATATTGGTGCACTCGGAGGACCAAAAAGTTAATTTTGTAAAAATAAAATGTCAAATAGAATTGATCTGCTCTGCCTGTAATATGCTTTAATTAAAATATTTTACAAAGGAAAAACCACACAGGTTCCATTTTATTTTAGTTACTTTTTAAAAGAGAAGCTGACTATCAAATTATAAATGGCCTGAAAAATGGACTTGAATAACAAAAACATTGACCAGTGTGAATTACAATTCTAACACATGACTTTCCTCATTGTTGGGGTGGAACGACCTCATGCATGAATTTACCCATTGTTGGGGTGGAATGACCTTTGGCGTAACAGTATTAGTCATCCTAGCATTTATATGAAAGCGAAGCCAACACCACAAATCCAAGATCCCATTACACAATCATTCCATCTTATTAGAACTTACCAAGTGAATGTCAAATTCAGAATCATCATTTTCTATTTCCAGTGTATTTTGCTCCAAAGTTAGACAAATTGCACTATCTTCCAGAGTCACAGTAGAACTGGTTGGATCCCCTTCCCTGAAATAATAAGTTTACCAATTAACCACATAATTACAAGGTTAACAGTACAGGTTTGCACATGGGATTTGCATGTTCCATAATTGGAATTAAATCAGACAATGAAAGCCTTTTTCTTTTAAACAGGAATTGCTCTTATCTTCTGAAAAAGATCTGGAGAAAGGAGAAAGATGTTTTACATGCTGAAAGTACTTGAAAATTGTTTTTAAAAAATGAAGAGTAAAAAGGGACAAGGAGAGAATATGGATGTAATAGGGAAAAAATATGATGACCAACGCAGCTAAGGTATTAACAATAATATAAATATTATTATTAATAATAATAATTATTAGTGTTAATAATATTACTACTGATGTTATTAATTATATTATTAATATTAATAAGCCTTGCATTTGATACTGCACCTTATTCAAACCATTTTGAATTATAGTTTTATTTAATTAAAAATAATTACATTTGTATTGCGCCTTTCACATCGAGAGCATGTCCCAAGGCGCTGGATTCAAAAACAGTTTTGAATTGTGCTTTAACATTATACAAACTGCATGATGACTCAACACACAGCTAACAAAACAAACATCACTTTATTTGTTCATTTCAGAAAGGTTTTGATAATCTCATAAAAAGGGATCGATTATTGTGAAAAAATCTTCCATGCAATAGGTTAAAGTGATGCTTGCAACTGGTCTGCATTATTTCATAACAGAATAGGCTGCAGACTCTACATTGGATTCCTCTTCCAGTGTAGTGCACAATGAAACAGGACAGATGATTCTTTGTCCTACTGTACCAGCTGCCTTTAGAAACAAACAAACAGCCTTGGGAAATTATTTGGTATCAGAATGCCAAAATTAATGTGAACTGCTATACTTACAGATCACAAGGGAGCTGGCACAGTAGAAAGCTACCACTGCACACTAGCCATTGGTTAGAGATCCAATAACAAAACCAGAAAACCCCTAAAATGAAACTAACTTTAACCTCAGAGGGACAAATTATGCACAAACAAAATTACAAGTCATTATCAAATTATTCTCTTAAAATATTCATGAACAGTCTGAAGAAAAGCATTTTATAGCAATTGCAGTATAATGACAAGCAAACAGGCCAAATATTTTGAAGGGGGAAATAAAAAAATTGCAATTATCATATTCTCCAATTGACTACTACCAACCTACATATGATTTCCCAGGTTCGAAAAAATATAAAGGATAAAATAGATGTTCCATTAGAATGCAGTTTGTTATTTTTTTAAACAAAAAGCCTATCTCTATACAAATATCTAACCTCAAGAAGCAAATAATTTAAACATAAATGACAATGCTAGGACATTCGCAAGTTTTAGCAATAGAGTATTAGATATACTGCAACACACAACTCCAAATGTTATACAAACTGCATGATGACAACTCACAGCTAACAAAACAAATATCACTTTATTCGCTCATTTCAGGAAGGTTTTGCTACATGCATGTATGTTGGACACAAACAAGAAATTGGAAAACAGCCTCAGAGGGGAGACATTAAGTTGACAACACGAGAAGAACAGCTAGAGAAAAGCAACATGTACCCTAAATTTTAACCATAGGTTAGCATTTATCATGATAATCAAAATCCTTGCATTTGATATAACGCCTTATCACATCATTGAGACGTCTCAAAGAGGATATACAGGACTGTAAAGTGGATTGACTATTTTGTGGGCAAAACCGACAGCCTGTTTGTGCACAACAACAACAACAACAACATTACAATTATAGAGTGCCTTTCATGTCGGGGGGACGTCCCAAGGTGCTGGACAGTCAGGACCCAAGCATGGGACAGGGATGGGGCAGCGGTGAGGGAAGGCAAAGCAGTGGGAGGGTGACCGAAGGCACGATCGAAGAGGAGGGTCTTGAGCCCGGACCTGAAGGAGGCAAGGGAGGAAGCGAAGCAAAGGGACTGTGGGTTGGAGTTCCAGAGTGTGGGGGCAGAGATGCTGAAAGCTCAGCCACCGATGATTGGGCAGGAGACATGGAGCAGGCTGGAGCCCAGTGAACGGAGGGAGCGGGCAGGTTGGTAGGGAGTCACCAGGTCAGAGATAGGAGGGGCAAGGCCATGGATGGCCTTGAAAGTGAGGACAAGGATCTTGAATTCGATCCTCTGAGGGATGGGGAGCCAGTGGAGTTGGGCGAGGGTGGAAGTGATAGGGTCATGGAGCCTGGTGTATGAGAGTACACAAGCTGCAGAGTTCTGGATGATCTGCAGCTTGTGAAGGGAAGAATTGGGAAGGCTGATGAGGAGGGAGTTTCCATAATCGAGCCTTGATGTGACGAATGCGTGGGTGAGGGTTTTGGCAGCCTGAGGGGTGAGGCAGTGGCGAAGTCTGGCAATGTTGCAGAAGTGGTGGTAGGCAGTGCTGGTCATGGCGTGGATGTGTGGGAGAAAGGACAGTTCAGGGTCAAACAAGATACCCAGGTTCCTGACTGGCTTAGTGAGGTTGAGTGTGCAGCCGTGGAGACTGACGTTGCCAGCGCCTGAGGTGCAGAGGCGCTGGCTCGAGCCAATCAGGAGGTGTTGCATGGTCAGAGGTATCATCCTTTGGATGAATGTTAAACCGAGCACATTGCACAGCAATGTCTCACAAAACGGCCATGGAGTGAGGGACCCATTTTATTTGGGGGATTGTTGGCCAGGACAGCAGGAGAAACTCCCTTCTCTTTTCAAATAACGTCTACCTGAACAGGCAGATTGGACCTCGGTTTAACATCTAATCCAAAGGATGACACCTCTGACCATGCAACAAACCCCTCCACCCAGCACTGCATTGGAGTGTCATCTTAGACTGTCTGATTCCAAGTCCCGAAGTGGGGCTTGACCCCACAACCTTCTGATACAGAGGCAAGAGTGCTAACATTGAGCCAGACTGATACCTGCATGTGTTATGCACAAAAATATCATATAAAGTAACAATGCAAGAGGTTTCATAGTTCCACTTTTCTCTTACAAGTTTGCTATCATACACATGTAGGAAATATATAAGATAACCCAAATCGTAAAGAAGCAATGGAGAAGGGCGGGGAACTGAGAAAGAGAAAAAAGGATTCTGGTATAAATACAAATGTCGCAAATTTCCTCATTTTTGTTTAACCAAAATCTCCAATTTATCTCTAGGTTTGATGGCTAGGACAATGGGAGAAACTCCCAACTCTTCCACCCCCAGAGTACCCTGAGGTCCTGCACATCCACCTGAACAGGTAGTTATAGCTTTGGCTTACCACTTAACCAAAGGGAAGCACTTCAGGCAATGCAGCAATTGCACAGCCTGGAAGTTCAGCCTGGATTTTGATGGGATCAAGTCCTGATGTCAGGCTTGAATCTACAACCTACTGATCAGTGGTGAGAGTGCTACAAAGCTACAATAACAACAACCTGCATTTATATAGCACCCCACATGCAGAGGGTAGCATTCAGAGAGCTTGACAGAGCACGACACCGAGCCGAAGGGAGGTCAAAAAGGATGGCCATCGTCCTGAGCTAGATTATACATACACACACACACACACACACACATAAAGGGGTAAATGGGCCCACAGGATGTAAGCTACAACATTCTAATCCCTCTTGTACTGCAGTGCTCGACCAACCAAACTACAATAAACACATTGAACAATTTCCTACTTCCCAGTCGTCGGCGACAATGATAATTATGCAGACCTTTTGGCGTTACTCAAAAAATACTGTACTCTCATTTAAATAAATATCAGTACATAGGAATGAACAACAGTCTTTTCTTTCCTTTGGGCATAAAACTTGCAGTATCAGTCTAAGCATCAAGAGATTTAATGATTCAGAAAATTACAGAATACCAATACAAAGGTCACACTCAATGTGCTTGGTATTTAATGACCTACTAATTTAAGGACTGTTACTATCAGTATTCTGTTGATCTATTCCAGTCTGTGAGCATTCTGAATCAATTATATTCTGATGGTGCTTTTACTGCTAACAAATATGAAATCCTCAACATGAACTTGTGTGCCATTGGAAATTAAAGGAGCAAATTTCTGTTTCTTTTGAAATGTTTTAAATTTGTGAATTAATCTTAAAATTTGGCGCATGTGGTTTCTGTCTGTTTGTGTAGTTCTTGTCTAACCTGTCACTGTGAAGTACTCCCAGAGGTTATTGTACAAGAGGGGTACAACAACAACAAGATTACATTTGTGTAGCGCCTTTCACGTGGGGAGGATGTCCAAGATGCTGGACAGTGTACAGCATTTCAGACCTGAGCTGGGGTCATGGGGGGAGAGGGGAGGGGAAGGGGGGTGACCAATGACTGTTGAAAAGGAGGGTCTTGAGGCGGGACTTGAAGGAGGCTAAGGAAGGGGGCGAGGTGGAGTGACTGGGGGGATGGAATTCCAGAGGTTGGGGGCAGAGTGGCTGAAGGCTCTCCTGCCAATGGTGGGGTGGGCGGGTGGGTCAGGGGACATGGAGCAGGCCAGAGCCGGCTGAGCGGAAGGAATGAGCGGGTTGGTAGGGGGTTAGGAGGTCGCAGAGGTAGGGTGGGGCGAGGCCATGGAGGGCTTTGTATGTGAGGACCAGGATCTTGAACTGGATCTTCTGAAGGATAGGGAGCCAATGGAGAAGGGCGAGAGTGGGGGAGATGGGGTCACGGAGTTTGGTGTGGGAGAGGACATAGGCTGGAGAGTTCCGGATTATCTGCAGCCTGTGGAGGGAGGAGTTGGGAAGGCCGACAAACAGGGCGTTTGCATAGTCGAGCCTGGAGGTGATGAAGGCATGAACAAGAGTTTCAGTGGCCTGAGGGGTGAGGTAGTGGCAGAGACAGGATGTAACGGAGGTGAGGGAAGGCAGAGCGGATCATGGCTTGAATGTGGGGGAGAAAAGATAGCTGAGGGTTGAACAAGACACCTGGGTTCCTGACTGGTTTGGTGAATTGAAGTGTGCAACCGTGGAGGTTGATGCTGCCAGAGCCTGAGGTGCAGAGGCGCTGGCGCGAGCCA